AAGAAGGATGCGTATTTCGTATAATTGTACAATATTGTTCTTGCAGCTACACGGAAGCGAAAGATGTACGTTTACATTCATTCAGTGCGTACCTTGTTTCCTTCCGTCACTATGATAGCTTTCCGCCGGGGTTTTGCATCACATAACGCGCAGACTTTTAAAATGGCCGCGATCCTAAAGGTCGACACCCTAGAGTCTAATATACTCGGAGAGAAGCCAGAGATATTATCCAGTCGGAACAACCACGCAACACGCCGAGTCCAGATCTGACGTCACCTCAGGTCATACAGTAGCTAGCCAAGTGTGTAACGCAAAATTCGATTCGCCTTCACATTGCACAAGCCATGGTTTCGGGACTGACTCCCTCGTTATGCCGAGTTGTGACATTCTGTCTCAAAGCTCGCGACGATGTCGAGATTGTCATTAATGAGCTGGACACATATATAATTAAAACATCCCAGTTTACTCGTTCGCAAGTGCAATTACCACACTGAATCGTGCCGATTAATCGCGTCATTTCTATGGTCTCCAATCATTCGTATCTGCTCGACGTGCTGGGAAAAAGCCATTCTAAACCTGTGCGCGTGGGCCTTCAGCTTTCACCAAGAACAAAGCGACAACAAGAAGGTCGCATCGTCAGCGTTATTTGACACCAACAGGCGATCAATTCAGCAGCGCGTATAAAATTCATCAACCACTAAGACTAAGACCTAAGGTGCGGAGCACTAGCAAGAATTGCCTAAGGGTACCGGGTCATATTTGCAGGATATGGGAGGAAAAACAATATGTATCACCAACTGCAGGCACCAGTAAAACAGACGTCTGACTAGCGTGTGTAGTGATACTTGGCTTTGCAAAGTAAAAGCATCGCGCAATAATCAAGTGGAAGTTCAGTTCCTCAATATATTGCTGCTAGCAGCCAAGCTAATTTCCGTGAGATAGCTGTTCCAGCTTTTGACAAAGTATCAAACTTGCAAGTAGGGCGGCTCTCACTTGCAGATGGGAGTTGTACTTCGACTGGCGCATCTACATCTTTTCCAGGAGAGACAGCAGCCGAGAATGCACCAAGATATATGCTGCACTGACGTCGCAGATCCTGCTACTAATTTACTAAATAGTACCGTTACAGTAATTTCTTCTTCCGATTCACCAAATACTGCATACATCATTCGCAGACGCGCCGAAATAGCCGCTTCACGTAAGAGTGGACCAGCCTTTGCTCATCGAACATTGACAATAAAGGAAGGCTTTCTTCCGGCAAGCTCTCGTGGGCTCTTTCGGCTATGATGGCTGTCAAATCTTTCGGGAGTCTTGCCGAACGACCAAAATATTTTTAAGGAACATTATTTCGATACACTCGCCGAGTCACGGGTTCGCTCTATGAGCCCACAGCGATTCAAAGCCTGTTGCTGATCTCAAGCTAAGAAAGGTCTACACAAAAAGGATGATAGAGATTCGGAGCAGTCTGCAACAGAGCATATTGCATGTAACTGCCTCGTCACTGCAGCATCACGACATGACCTCGGACTACCCACGTAGGACACAAGTCATGCTTCTATTATCCTCGAGATGCTAAAGGTACGACCGTGAACGGCTCGATGTCGTGGCAGCAAATTATACCTTTTTATCGCAGACGCTGCATGTTTAGTAAGGTTGACAACGTTGAACAATGCCCTTCTCTCTAGATATTCAAGTGAGCTTCACCTGCACCTGTCCTCGACGTGTTGTTTTTACACATCTTCGCCATCAGATATAGCGTCACCGATTAAATTCATGACGCTCAATTTTATTGAGACCAAGACTTGCTTTCGCATTAGCGAGCCAAATGATTACGCCAGCTACCTCAATGAGTATATGATACTTCGTAGCGATTTCAAAATACCCAAGGGGCAAACAAAATCATGTAAAAATGTTGAAATTAGAATTATATTGACATAAAGAACGTTTTCGATTACTCACATGTTGATCGAAATACCACTGTTGTCTCGCGATGTGTTTATAAGAGTTACACTGCCATATCTAAACGCTCCATCTTGCCATCTCTCTGTGAATAATTGGCGGTGAACATGATCTATCTGATACCTATAAACTTAAAAAATCACAAAACACTGCGGAAAAGCGCTGAACTGGATAAATAATATTGAATACCGGCAAACCATGTTGCCGGAAGGCTTCGTCAAGAAGAAGCTAGGCCGTATCCTTTTTGATTACGGTGTTGCGGACAGTAGCAAGATAAGTCATCTTCCTTAAGCGGCCCACAACGACAATAATGACCGGCACGGCTTCCGAAGAATCAGCAATAATCTCATACTCATGGACTGGCAACACTCTGATGGAACTAACAGATCTATCTGCAGCTCCAAAACATGTGGCAACGCTTTAAGCCGTCGACTTGTTCCTCACGTACGCACATATGTTCTTACTCATTTTTACGTGCTGAAAAAAGCAGACCATACGTTATGTATAGAAATAACCAGTGCTGTAATACATATACTAAATGGCGGTGCAGTTAGCGCCACAAGAAATACGGTATGATAGCTTTTTCACAGCTAATGTCGTTTCTAACTCGTACGCTGTACGTACCGCCTCATTGATTACCTCCATCTTGACAAGCAACGAATATGGTTGTGGCGACGCGAAATCGCATTCGTCTTCACCTTCTGCTGACCCGGCATATGCTATAAGATATACCTGATTGAAAGAATGATCATATTGCCATTCATTGCAAGATAGATAGAGACAACGCCGCTGTGTGCAGCGACAAGTTATTTTGATTCATCACAAACGGTCTAGATCCAAGCAGGCGCCCCTTTCAATTCGCAGAAAGTTACTTTTTTGCAAGTAGCACCTTGCTACAAATATCCAACTGCCGAGCCAAATTTGGAAGAGTCAAAAACGATCACGCATTATTTTTTTTCGGCCCTAGCGATCGAACCTTTTGCTGCACCAGTCCTATTTGACATATCGAAAGTGAGCCGTGTCATGTCATTATTGATTGCTTTATTCTCGAGCGAGTAGTTGGTCAGGTTAAGTTAAAATCCCTTTGTGACAAAAGCACAAGCCATTTTACTCTGGTCGCTTTCTTCCGTTACGAAATGGTCGGGCTTTCCAATGAAAACATTTCTATACCTTAAACGTAGTCTTGTTCATATAGAGAAACATCTTATTAAAGCAAATGCTCTTAAGCATCATCTGTAAGTAGATAATATTATTCCCGTAAGTTACACAACTACACCTTCCAAGTAGATTTGTTGATAAGCGCAAAATGATCTGAAATGATAAACCACCAGACAATTGAGGGTCGCTGGTGCTTTATACAGCCCAATTACAGGATCAGTCACTCCAAAAGCATCTCAATCGGAGTGATTACTGCAGTGAGAGAAATAATTGTCTCTTAAAAACAAGCGATATGGTCAAGAGCTCTCAACTCAGTGCGACCGACCATGCTGTTCTTCAGCATATCATTCCGATAAATTGGCGCTTGCATTATAACTATGACTGCCACTAGCTGACCAAAAGCACATACAATTCACTACTTGCCGTTAATATTTCTGGCAAGAAAAGTCGACTTTAAACGAGCAGATAAACTTTCTGACTTGAAACCGCTATGTGCCTTGGGCAAAAAACCATCAACGACGTCACTGTATTTCTTATGAGTCAATGTTTTATGAGGCATCACATCAATGTCATGGCGCAATTTTCGTTCCAGGAGCAACACGCGTATAAAAAATTAGAATAGTCAGCAGAATCATCAGAAATACCTATCCCATACCTCGCAATTAGTGCCAAGCGAGTCCTCGATAACGATCTCTTTTATGCTGGGCGATGGAATTGACGTTTTCATCGATACCAAACGACCGATTCGGAAGCTCATAGTTTTGATTTTTTTGCATGCAACCGCTATGGAAACAAGTACTTACGCTTCAGCTCATGGCACAGGAGACACGAATTCGCGGCTGTGGTTCACTGCACCACACGATGTACCATTTGGGAGTACATCTTTTCCCGTCTTGAAAAGGACAGACCCAGGAGGCTATATATGACCGCTTTCCTGAGATTCACCCAGTGAGCGTGACTCACAATGGCATTTGCTTCCAGGTGTATTCTCCAGACGCTGAGCACATCGTCTGCTAGTCAGTGTGGATGACCCCATGCCCTGCACAAGAGCTATCGTTACTTTGCGACCGCGCCAAAAGCGCTTCTGCTTCTTGGTAGGGGGTCCAAAGTTTAGTGGATTGAATTACATGACTCACTTCATTTCCGACTTTTAGTCAATCCATGGTTCAATGCGTTTGTCTACGCCATTTTTGTGATGCGATCGAGTCCAACAGGTTAAGATAACCCTTTTAGATGTCAAATACCTTAAATTGTACCTGAAGGGTCAAGACAATTTCAAAAACTTTCACTTGCGGATACTGTATCCATATTTAAATTCTTCGCGTTGCAAAGTATTTTCACCAGCTGCGTGTCTTACACAGGTACTCCTGTAGCTATCAGGCATTGAATGGCTTCACGAACCAAGGCATTGATTAAAATAGCCACCATACCTGTACTCCGAGCCCCACCTAACTCATGCTGATTATCTAATTTTAGGGTTGTATCTTGTGGTCTACGACCTCCAAAGGAACAATGAAACCGGACTAAGTGTTTCCTTGCCTCGTACCTGTCGTTTTCATATTATTTCAATTGAGCCTATCCATCCTAGGCCCTCAATACGAGCGAAGACGGTAGGCCTCTTATATATTCACATATGATATGTCTGCAGCGCTGCATGGGACTAATTCCTCATCAGTGCTGAGGACTCGGGCGCGCTCATGAAACTTCTAATCCCGGTATCCCATCTAAGCCTCACAGCCCCGAAGTTGGACTCTGCATTCAATAAGACACTGCTTTCCTACATGAAGTCGGATACGGCTGCGGAAGGTCTCCGTGCCATATGGGCAGGTTCAGTGACCTCTAAGAAAATGGCCACTACAATCGCACATCACGAAGGATCTGACGACATTAGAGATATGAGCTGTTCACTTTTCATTTTCCTTGACTGATGGACAAGAACTCGTAGCTTGCCAGATACGTCGAATCAGGCGATGCAAGCTTGTCGCTTCAAATCTTCACTTGTCAGAAATACCACCCCCGAGTAAATAATAAACATCATTATCGCTCCCGGCTTCCATTCTGAAAGTCCTTACTTCCTTGTCTAGAGCATAGTCGAGAACGTGATTAATCTACCTATTTTTCATATAGAATGATAAGCGTCGCAGATTCCCCTCAAAAGGCTAGACGGTCAATACTTGAGGTCTGGTTGTGGGGGCCATTGTCGGTACTTCCGACGCCTGGTTGAGGCGCTTCTAAAGGTGTTCTTTGGCGATTTCATATAGCTGGCAAAGGGCTCCAGGAAAGCGATTGTCAGTTGCTGACCATAAGCCACCAATGTCTTGCATGCGTGTCTGTGGTAGGCGATTGAATATTTTGTGTTTCATCCTCACTGGCGATGTAGTACTTTCACGACTCGGCAGTGTAGTTGACTACAAGTGCAACAGCGTCGCCGTTCACCTCGCACCAATCAAGCTTTTAATCAAAAAGTTCACGACAACAAACCCACTGATGCTGGGTTCGTATGCTACCCCTGTGGGTTGCACTGAGAGCCTCCAAATTTTATAGTACCCTAGGTTGCTGTGCTATTACAAGAGTTAAGAAAAAAAATTACGTACACCTGGCTCAAGTGGTTTGTATCTTGGTCGAGGTATTTACTAAATATGACCTTATCTCTACACCCGTAATAACAATATATTGACTCGAAGCTTTTAACCCGCATGTACCACGAACCTGTATACTTTGTAACTTCTACATATATAATGCAGAACAGTTTAGTAAAATTAGCACGATTGCACAAATTTATACAATACGTACATACTTACGATTGCACAGCAACGTAGAGGTTGTACTTAGACAATACTGAACAATGGTTTAAGATTTGAAGGTTGAATAGTAAGAATTTAAAATAATTTAACAAATAAGTAGCACTGAGTCTGAAATATAGCTATTGACAGCGTTCAAGATCTTATACTGCATAAAAGATCGAAGACTCAAACAAGTCTTCGATACGAAGACCGTACTTATACCGGATTATTTCTATAGTGCAAGTCTTCAATACTGTAAACGGCCGTTCACCTACCCAGAAAGCTACTTGCTGTAACTTCAATTAATTTGTCCGAGTCGTCGCGCCATATAAAGCTTCGTAATTTTACAAGTTTGCCAATTTGATTCTAACGTGCTTGTTTGACGGCGGTTCCGGAGGTTTCTTGCTCAAATTCATACCTGCAAATATATTTAAAATGATCTAAATTACTTCCCTTTTCTTCCACCAATCGGTCTCGTCTTACAAAGCTGAAATCTCCCGATAAATTGTATTCAAGTAAAATACGACATGATATTTTTCAAACGAATTGAATAACCAAAAACCTTCGTCCAGTTATTTAAATGACTAGATTGGCTATCACCAGCTGAATTTTCTATACCTTCTCTTAAATGCATGAGTTAGTATACACCATCAACCATGAGTCTCGCAAGTCGACCATACGGCTCTTGTTCAGCACTTGAGTTTTACTTAAACTCTAGTGCAATGAGCTTTAATTTATATGAAATGTCCAAAAGCCTTTCTATGGGACTGCTTTGCGGATATCCTTTAAGTAAGATTCTCTCCCAAAGTACGGTTTTTGGCTCCGAATGTATCAGAGAAAATTTTACAGCCGTGGAACTGATCGGGGGCGAAGACATGCCCACTTTTCAAGTCTCGACGTACGGTCTCTATACCACCAACTCTTTCTTAACCGCACACTTGGAAGACGACGTTCCTGAGACCGCGTGGCTTTTGTCACGACCGTTATTAAGTATTGAGCACAAGCCCAGAACGTGCATTATGTACCAGGTTGGGAAGCAAGGCGCTATTGTGCTACTATGCTGTATCAATTTGCTTAATTACATTGATCGCGGCATCATTCCGGGAGCCCCGGAAAAGTTTAATCATTTTATTACGAACACCTTAGATGTGAGCGTTTTGCGCCAGTCCGTGTACTTTGGCCTACTAACTTCTGCATTTATCGCCAGCTATTCGATCTTTTCCATCGTATTTGGCTACTTTGCACTAACGCATCGACCTTTTCGCATCATTGCATTGGGTATGACTGTTTGGGTGGTGGCCGTGGCCATCTGTGGCGTGGCTCAGGCCTCTCAGAGCTATTACGTACTAATCATTGGGCGCCTTGTTAGTGGAGTCGGCGAAGCTTCATTCCAGTGTACAGCGACACCCTTTATTAATCGACACGCACCACCGGCAAAGCGCTCGCTGTATCTTGGCATTTACCTGGCTTCCATTACTGTAGGTACCGCTGTTGGATACATCTATGGATCTATTTTCGCCAGCTCGGGTTGCGGCTGGGCAGGGGCCTATTTTGTGGAAGGCATTATCATGATTGGATTTATCGTCTGCTGTCTTACCATTGTGCCAGATGAGCTCAATCAGATTCCGGCCCATATTGTGGAGCGAGATGAAATCGAGCACAAGCAAAGCTCGGTGGCGATAGTGCCAAACACTCCTGACGACGAGGAGAAGGCACGAACAACAGTGTTTTGGGAAGATCAAGACCGCAGTCAACCCTTGGAAAAGCCATCTTTTCTCGAAGAATGGTGGGCCATCTTTACGTGCTGGCCATTCATGCTAATTATTCTTGGACATGCAGCCTATACATTCTCTCTAGCGGCTATGAGTACCTTTAGTCCAGCGATTTTCATCGGATTACGACTTTTTGAGGATGAGACAACCGTGTCACTTATCTTTGGTGGTCTTGTGGCTATCACTGGTACTATCGGTACGCCACTGGGTGGCATTCTAGTCGACTACTTGGCAAAAAAGAAACCTGATGAAATCGGACGTCGCTGCGTGATCTCGGTTAAAGCACTGTTTTATTTCATGGTGGCCGCGGTCGCGTTTGGGCTTGTGATGGTGGCATTTACCAGCCTTAAAGTGATATGCTTAATCTTTCTTACCCTCTGTTTGTTCTGCATGTGTGCTCTCACCGTTCCCGAGACGATTGCCATACTTGAACTCTTTCCAGAGTCGCGTCGATCAATGGCGGTTGCAGCAAATACACTAGTAATCCATGCTTTAGGAGACGTGCCATCTCCGATCATTCTGGGTGCGATCAAGGATGCATGGGCGCCTGATTGTGGCACCGTTGAGATTGATGGTGAGGCAGGGCTTAATCCAGCTTGTGCAGAAGACCATGTTGGTCTTCGAAATGTGCTGCTCTTTGCCGTCCTTTGGCTTGTTTGGGGTGTCATTTTTTGGGGTGTCGCTGTCATTGTCTTAAAACAAAAACAAGAGGAGGAGAAGCGACATGCGGCGCGAAGAGGCTTGATGGTCAGCGCCTTGTAAGCTACTAGTGTAAGTCATCAAAAATAATAGCGAGTCGTGGTGAGCGTGAATGTTAAGAAACCGCAATAGTTTTGACAAAATGAAATTGACCCATCTACAAGACTCAAATTGTATTATGAAATCCCTCCTTTATCGTCGATCGTTAGCTTCTCTGTAATTTCAATGGTGCTCTTCTGATTACAGAGTCTTGCGATGCAGGATGGAAGCACCGTATTCTTCGTACTCAGTCTTGGTAATCCACATGTTCTTAAATGTTGCTAGTGAAGCCAAAATAGAGCCACCGATCCATGTAGAGTGGATTCGTGTGGGCGGCGCTGAAATCCGAATTTTGATATCTTTCGGCGCTTTCTTGCGTACTTCTGCGAGCAATCGATCACCAAAGCCTGGAAAAAGTGTCGAGCCTCCTGAGAGAATAATTTGCGAGAAAAGTGTCGTTCTTAAATCCAAATCCGACTTCATAATGGCTTGTACAAGGCACTCGTGCACACCTCGTGCTTCCGATCCGATAATTTCTGGTCGAAATAGCACTTCCGGTGCACGGAAACGCTCAGGACCAATCTACAGACAGCAAAATAGCACACAAGTTCGAATAGGCTCTCATATCGACTCACCACCAAAAAGGAAGAAACTAACATTGAGCAGCGTGCCGTCTGGTAAGAAATACGCCGATGTACTATCTCCTGATGTCGTAGATGGCTCGGATTTGGCACTTAGCATATCCTTGACTGCAAGCGCCAATTTTTCTGCTTCAAGTTGCTCTTCTTTGGTAGGGTTAAAAGCTACATAGCACAGTTTCTCTTTAATCTCCCGCACTACCTCCCTCTCAGCTGACGTCTGAAAGTTATAACCTGCCCGACGCAGTAGCAGCTGCAAGTGACGAGTAACGTCCCGACCAGCGATGTCCATTCTTGTGATTGCGTGAGGTAGCGTAAAGCCCTCGTAAACAGGAACCACATGGGTTACGCCATCCCCTACGTCTAATACAACACCCGTGGTACGACCCGACGCGTAAAGACTCAGTACAGCCTGTGGAGAGACAAAGAGAGATGGTACATTAAATGTCTCGAAAAATACTTCGCCGGCACGCTGGCGGTTGGCCACAGGATTCAAAGGCGCCTCGGTAAGCAGCACTGGATGATCTTCGCTTTGTACATTCAGCATATCCTTGGAATAGACGTGCTGCCAAATGCGATGCATGCTATTCCAGTCCGTGATGACACCATGTTCCATTGCGTATTGAATCTTAAACAATCCACGGTGCTGTTGCACCCGGTTGCCTACGAACACATCGCCGCCCTCATACGCACCACCAGGCATCATACGCGTGTGTTTAGTGGTTCCAACAAAAGATGGAAACACCACTTGTGGTGTCTCTCCTCCTGCAAAGCCTGCCTTCATAAGTCCACTACCATTGTCGATCACCAACGGCTGATTTCCCAGCGCTGCGCTCGCCATTTTCATCAAAGAGTTGAAAATCCAACCCGCTGGTTTGTCCTATAAAAACTGTCTAAACTTTCAGTATATTGTGGCAAAAATCGCTATTATATGCACCTTGTGGCTGGACAGGGCACTAGTAAAACAGAGCGATCACTTTTTATCGGGGTGGGAGCCAAACTCGGATAAAGTAGTCGCGGGGAAACGCAGTGGATCATGGATGGCGCGCAGCAAGAGGTGACAACGCTGTTAGAAAAGGTACAAGGTGCACACAGCAATGCAGAGCAAATGGATCTATTTCGCCATGTGCAGGAGATTGTTACACATCGTGACCCGTCGGGACAAGAGCGTCGTATACTGCGCAGCATACGACCATTGCTCGGTCAACTCGCACAGCTGCAGAACGCGACACTAGTGGCAGCAATTATGCAGCTCATGGCACAAGAAGTGTCAGCAGCTGTTACTACACCCAACATGATGTCAAGCGAGGCGGTGAATGCAGCGTCTGCACTTCTGACTGGACTCTATGAGGTGTGCCACACTGTGTTGCTGCTTAGTTACTCGAGCGAGAAAAATGTAGTGTTGGCACTGCACCTAGCGCTTTGCAATCTTCACTCAAGCTACCAGATCGTACTTCGAGCGGAGAGTAGCGAAAATAGCTTGGATACAGAGTCAAAGAGCTGTTGGGACGCCACGATGCGTTGCATTGAAGCAGCGGCTGACGTCGTGGCTGTTTTGCCAGAAAAAGAAAACAGTAGTCGAAGCTCTTTGGTCTGGTTGAAGGCTTGGAAGATGATAGAAAGTAGCGTTATGCTTCTAAGCACGGCACAGGATGCATCGACATACCGAGATCCCATGCGATCCAATGTACAGCCCAATGCTTGCAGCTTGGATCAATTAACTTATGAAAAGCAGACGATTTTAATCAAGACACAGCTGGAGGAATTCGGAGTGTTTTTATTGCAAAGGCTGTGTGAAATCGTCGGCACTGTATCAGACGCTAAGCCCACATTGATGAGACGTGAACTCAGTGTAGCAGTCAATTCGCTGTCGTTAATAGCGGCCGTGCGACCGCAGTATATACAACACATATTGCCAAAGCTTATATCTCTTTCAAATACAGTGGCAACGCCAGGAGCGGAAGATGCCACAATACAAAAAACTTTGATCGCTAATTTAGTGAAGTTGTTGAGCCATCCAGCTGCGCAGCCGTTTGCAGATGATGTGACGGACATTTTGATTGCTGTTGGAGCGTCTCAGCGTGCCTTTGCTGCAATTAGCAAAAATAAAGAGCAGCGGAGACGATATACTAACGCACCTACAGAGGCTTCATTGCGTAGGGCCAGGATCGGTAAGCGCACTGCAGCGCAGTCGATTACGGAACGTGTAGAGAGTGCCAATGCCCTTGCTAAGCGCAGACGTGTGGATTTATCGACGTCCGCAACAGTTTCGACATCTAAAGAAAAGGTGACGCACGATGCTATTGTCAACATGCACGCTGTCGAAGTGGCTAATTTAGTACTGGAAAGCTTTTCGTCTGCGATGCCGTCCCCTGCACCGCCAAATGTGCAGTTGGAGCTTGTACCCAGTGCTTTAAAAGCGCGAATGTCTACACTTTTGTCAAAACTTGCCACTCCTTCCTCAGCTCTCGCCATTGAGAAAAGTATGAAGCGGATGCGAGATCCGCGAGTTCGACGTGATCCGAGATTGCAGACGCAGCACAAGGAACAACCAGCACTTGTACCAATTTTTGACGACACCGCTATTGAAGAAGTGAGTGACTGGATTTCGAAACACGCTGCTACGATCGCTGAGCCGCTTGTGTCGGTTTCAAAAGATAATGTAGTTCAAGTGCATTTGAAGGTCGAGACTAAAGCGTGGCAACAGGAAATGGCTACGGATGCGTTTGTCCGAATCTTAGAAAACGAGTATGGAGTAAAAATTCGGGGAGACGAAGCACTGCGTGAAGGCGTCGTATGTCGCCTTGCGTCAAGATTTTGGGATCTTGGCACGAATACCGACCAACAAACGATGTCAGATGCTTTGAGTGCTCAGCCGAAATTGCCATTTGTCTTTCAAAAGATTCTAGACTTTGTGCTAGGTGATTATGCTGTGCGATCAACGCTGGCAATAAATTTGTTTTGTCAGGAGTACATTCGTACTATGACCTATCTAAACGAAACAACAACCGAGAGTACATTTAGAGTACCTAGCCACATTGACTGTCAAATTTATCGGTCGTCTGTGAGCTATTTCTTTGGCGCTTTGCTGAAGAAGGTGAACATGTCTTCCTCCGCTGACAAAAAGCTGTTTAGTAGTCTAATGGCGCAATTGCCCTGGATTCCGGTAGACATTCTTCGCCTTGTGACGTCGCTATTTAGTGAGAAATCTGGAATCGTTCTTGGTATCACTTTGTTTCGTGACTTATGCAAGGAACGAAAGGCATGTCAGACACCGTGTCTGTTACTTTTATTGCGTTTTACTTGCCATACAGACGAACACTATCGCAATTCTACAATTCGATGTGTCGCTAATCAGCTGTACGGCGTCAGCGCTTTTAAAACTATTATTGAAGAATATGCTATCAAGTTTGTTAACTCGTTACGGGAAGCGGAAAAGTCTAACGATATCAATATGAAAGTGGAGGATAAGGCAATGCTTGAATCTGCCGGGGCTTCGAACGAAGGTGAACACTGCAGTAAGCTTAAGTGTGCTGATCCAGTGAATCCCAAACAAAAGTGGTTACAGGAGCAAGTGCAACGAATTACGCTTGTTGAGAAGGACAATTATGATGAGCTACAAGCGTACGCAGATACAATCTTGGCTGAAATGAATTTGTCGAGGGTCTTGGATAGCGAAGCGGAAATATTGCGGCGATTGGAACTTTACCTCGCTTTATGTGCGAAAAAACCATCGTTGCTATCCTATGTCGTTGCAGCGTATGCGTACGCATCTGAAGCTGTACGCCAAGTGATTTTTCGTGCTATTGAAAAGCTTATTAAACATTTGAAGCAACGTGGAAGTGTGAATGTTGTTGCTCAACTTCACGGATTCGAGGCCAATGCTCTTGGTTTGGTTTGCCACATAATTCAAATTCTGTCGCTACGCGGACGTCCCAATGATTCAAGTTCGTTGGCAGTTGACGTACTTAATCAACAAATATTGGAGTTGTACCACAATCATGAACACATCCCTGATTCCGTCTCAGTACTCATTCCAGTTCTACCTAGTATCCGTGGTGAGATTTTGTTCCCATTATTGCCTCAAATACTATCGTTACCGCAAGCTCGGCTGTCAGTCGCTATTACGCGATTATTAGAAGCAATGCCTCCACAAGCAGTAGCTCCAATTGATTTGTTAGTGGCGCTGCATCATGTGGATCTTAAGACAGAACCAAGTATGCAGAAAAAAGTAATTAACGCTATCAACTTCTGCGTGGAACATCGCCATGCATTCCCATCAGACGTACTTCTTCACGTATGTCGAGTTTTGATTCAAGAGGAGAATATCTCTCGACTTTCTCTTCGCACCCTCATTCTCAGCGTCACAGCGTACCCAACTCTACAGAGCGATATGGCATCTCTTCTCAGTATTCTTATAGACAGAAGAGTGTGGGAAATGGAGGATGCTTTATGGAAAGGCTTTGTGAAGTGTTCAGTACTAATTCAACCAGCATCTTTCCCATTGCTCCTTCAGAAACTACCGGTGCCCCAATTAGCCGCACTGCTAAAAGATGAGAAAGAGTTATCCGTGCTGCTCCGCGATTTTGCCTTGACAGCCGGTCCAAATCGTCAGCCTATGGACCTTTCATCTGCAGTCATCGAACTTCTTGGAGATTCCCAAGGCGAATGGCTCACAAAGTCTCCTCCTCATCAAGGACCAGACGTTAAATTCGAGAATGCCAATCCTGTCAAGATTGAACCTACCAAAGTGGAGGAGCAGACATGCGATTAGTTTTAGAAGGTTGTGAAGTAAGTAGACACGACAGACCCAACAATTGAAGTAGCCGATGCGTGAAATTAAAGAGGTCAAGTGTTTGTCACCGATTTTTCTAGCGATGTATTTTACTCATTGTCAACTATACTACAGCATGCACCATTGATCATTTTCAATAAGCTTTCACCCACAAGTGTAATTGCGATAGCGAACGTGGCAAATCTCACTCACTTCTGCAATAATCTTGAGCGCTTCGTCCATATCCTGCTTTGTGTGAGCAGCAGAGACACAGAAACGTACACGAGAAAGAAGCAGCGGCGTGGCCGGAAAACCCACCGTCACAACCGCCAAATTGCGTTTCAAGCATTCACGAGAGTACTCTCCAACTTTCGACATGTGGTAAAGCATCACCGGAATTACAGGTGAGTCAAAGTCACCAAGTGCTATGACACCCATGTTGATCAACTTTTGTCGAAAGTAGTTGCTGTTTTCACGAAGTGAGTCCAACTTCTTACGTCCTGTATCCGTGCCATCGAAACCCGCAATAATATTCAAGGCTGTCAGTATCTGCTGTGCGATGATAGGTGACAAACTCGTCGCATAGACTGCCCCGGCGCTTGAGCTACGAATGAAGTAAATTATCTCCTTCGATGCAGCGATGTATCCACCCATACCACCAAAGCTCTTTGTAAACGTACCCATTAATATATCCACTTCACTTGGATCCACACCGGCATATTCGCAAATACCACGGCCATTTCGACCCAAAGCACCAATACTGTGGGCTTCGTCCACATAAATATAGGCTTTATATTTCTTCGACACGTCAACTATCTCGCGAAGGCGTACAATCTCGCCTTCCATTGAGTAAATTCCTTCAACCATGACCATGACTTTCTTCCATGCGCGGTGCGTACGAGGTTGACCTTCTGCAATCTTAAGACGCAAGACCTTTTCCAGGTGTTTCGGATCATTGTGTCGAAAGACACCTACAGTCGCACCTGATGCACGAGCTCCATTCACTATTGAAGTGTGATTCAATGCATCACTTAAAATGAGTGTTCCTTTGCCCATAAGTGCTGGAATACTCGTTGCATTGGTGGCGTAGCCCATATTGTACACAATTGCAGCCTCTTTACCAATAAATTTAGCTACGGCCTTTTCCAGTGCAATATGCACCGATGTAGTGCCAAACTCCATTGGAGGTACAGTCGAGGCTAATGCAAACTGATCAATTGCAGCAAATACCTCGCGACTGCACGTATGCATCCAATCATCGGCAAAGCCGAGATAGTTGTAGGAACCAAAATTCAAGCAATGTTGTGGTGGCTCGTTCAAGTGCACAAATGTCTTGTTCTCATCGATTGATTCGCGCTTGATAAGGTCGATGTGAGCGCCTGGTGCACTAGCAACTGGACGATTAAAAACGTCCTGAACGCGATGGTATAGACGGCGAGTGTAAAAACTTTCCCAAGCAATAAGCAACTTAGCCAATCCAGAGCGTGTTTTATCGGAATGATAACGCGAGATTCCGGAGATGCGGGCCGCGATATCGCGCAAATGGCCAAACGTGATTAATATGGAATATTGCAGGAAGCACATGAGAGCGGGAAGCCATGGGACGTGCTCGGCACCCATTTTCTTTTAATAAATTCCAAACTGACGAACTTGCACTAATGCAGATGTTGTGAATTGAGATTTGAAACATTACGACATGACACTGGTCTTTTGTTAGTTTAAACCATTTGTTTTCAAATCATAGATAGTAGCCATTTAAGTGATAGCACTTCTTGTAGATAAGCAATATAGATCAGCAATGAAAATGGATTCAATCTCAACATGCCGTTTAAAGCCCACAACTCTGTCCCCAGCGACTAATTCGCAGTATTCAATTTGTTTGAATATTCTAAAATCTACTAGACCTTGTTTGCAGTGACTAGTCAGATAAACCCTGATACAAGAGACGAGGCATGATAACAGATGATGAGCTGCGACATGTGCGCCTGGCGCTTGCGCCAGTGTTACACACACTTTTAAATTTAAATCGCCATCTCTGAGTTATCATAAATAGATGGCAAAATGAAGTCAGCGAGGTAATCGGAAGTTAGTACGTACGTGACCATCGTAAATGCGTTAAGAACGAATTGTTAGCGTAGATTTATGTACTTCGCTTGAGACTAGTATCTGGTCATTGGCTATCGCAATGTCTTCCGTATTGTCGACATGGACCACGGTCATACGGCATTATTCCTTGAGATCTCGCAGCCATATCGCTTATAGTGCAGCAAACGTACTCGGCCACGAAAAAACTAGATGTCGACTGACGAATCACCAAAGATAACTGGATTGTCTTGCAATGTAGAGCAATAAAAAAACGAGTTTACGTCTAGCGCTCGTTGTCAGCCAATACTTGAACGGAAATGCTATCCAACAAGACAACTAGACGTTCGTCTTTCTTTGCAATGTCCCCAACAGCCTCGAGCCGAGACTACAAGTCATCGAGCTTGAGCTATTGATCCATTTGTGCCACCACAAATTCATGCAATTTCTTCCAAAACTGGGAATTCTTGTTTTATAATGAATTCGCGCAGAATGAACCACGACTCGAGCCGTTTCGTATCATGGACTGGTGCGCTGGATATGCCTGAAATCTGATTCCGACGGAGAAGATCTAAGGTGGCCAATTATGCAGCAACTGTTGAGCTACCTTGGTGTTAGTTGGCAAAACCGGAAACTTGTTGTTTTCGCGCAGGAAAGTAGTGTTGCATTAATATCACCTCTGGAGATCCTTGCGATGATGGCCAAAGCCTTGGGATCGGCGGTCTTACACTTCGCTGATGCCCGTGCCACTTCATGTTCGGCCTTTGTCTCAAGAATTCGAGCAATCCCTTCCGGGCGAGAGTCACCCGGATGAAGAGCTTCCACAAAAAATAGGCATAGGATATCGCTGATCGTACCATACATGCCGCTCGCACATAACCTGGTAGCACTTCTTGCAGATGAGCGATATAGGTGGTAAAAGTGAAATGAGCTTAGTCCCAACATTCAATCCAAAGCCCACAACTCTGTCTACAGCGACGATTTCTCAGCATCCATCCAATTTTTCATTCAGTTCGAAGTCAGATAGCCCTTTGCAGCAGTAAAGAATTATCATGAACGAATAAAAGAATATTAGTCTTCGTCAACAGGTGTGATGATAGCGCTGGACATGCACAGATAATATTAAGCGAGCAATAAAATATCTTTTTTGACAATCAAAGCTATGTCTAGTGAGTTGGCTTGTAAAAAAAGCGCCGGATAAAGCATAAAATCTCAAATCTAAGTCACCAATAGATTAAACTTCCTTAACTTGAGCAATCTGCAATTTTACGTTCATTTATTTACTAACGATGCCATGACAACGGTTACGACGACGGTAATTCATAGTTCCAGGCATTAAGTTGATGTGTTTCACTTGAGCAATTGAAGCGGAATCAGAACTAATAAAAAGTACACCCTTCGGTTGACGAGCATGTGAAATAGAGCAATGTTGGAGCAATGTTCAATCGAAGCTTTTGGAGGCTGCAAAAACTGATTATCAACAGTGCCACCAACTGAAAATCTATCAATTGCATCATGTTCTGCGAATTATGATACAACAAACGCTTCGATCTTGTGGAAAAATGAGTCATTCGTGCGCTCCTGTACTTTTGCTGACCGCTTTGACAATTTCGGTTTCATGTACACAAGGTTGAGGCACTAATTTTAGAATAATTGAAATTTGGGTCGCGGCATAAGTCGAAATAATTTTCGCATCTCACCAATTTAAGCTGTTAACAAAGACATGCAGTGTTTCTGATGCTATGATGTGCCTCCTTCGCGGTTCTTCCTTCGAAAATGTTGAAAGTGCTAGAAACAGAGGTTCAGAGGTCATGGAATATACGGGTTAACAGAACCGCTGCTAGTCTATCTAAAAGCGATACTAGTGAGAAGTAGTATGTTTTTAGGGGTCAAAAGTGCTCTCGGAGCGACGTTTAATGCTCAATGTTTTTTGCCTCGAGCGAAAGACCCGCATATACATATGCCAATAAGTTATGCGATGTGCGACTTTTTGATCAAACACATTTACATGACGTACTTTAGTGCGAAAGAAATACATAGCCTCATGGCGACTTTGATATGACACTAAATAGGTGACGGTATGCCAGTTAGGCTGAGCCCGGTCTAGACACCTGCAGACGCTTACGATAATCTTAGACCAATTATTAATTACCGGAGACAATTGCTAAAATTACCTGATGGTGGCGTGCTTATTGGTAACAACTTGCCCGACGTATGAGTTTTGCGACGGAGTACTCTGCTGATGGGAATTAGCATGGAGTGCGCGCCCGGCGAGGAGGCGGAACTTAAAAATGTATCACAGCACCTGGTAGGTGCAAAGAAATAAAACTTGTTCCTGTCACACTGTGTACTCGTAGGGCGTTCACTTTTGCGCAATGTTTTGATTGATATGATTAGGAGCGACACCCCTTTATAGGAGCCGTGTAAGCCATGTCAAGCACGTGCTGTAGGGTTTTATTCATTAAGCCCGGAGATTGAGCCCTGGACATCCCGGTTCTGAAGTGAACAGCATACCACTGCACCACATGATCGGTTGCAATGTTTTGATAGGCAAATGCCCTATTCGCATAGAAGAATGTAATGAGATGCTGAGCAAATTGTTTACGAATTTAGTATGTAATGTCCATAAAAAGTATCATTAGATACTTTCTGACTTTTTCTGCTATATTTGTATGTACAATTCTGGTTAGTACAAAATATGAACGCAGCAACACGACGGATGGCTTCACTTTGCTGAAGTCTGTAATATCCAAATTGACACGAATGTATGCCAAAGCATGTGATAAAGAGCAGCTTGCGTAGGACAATCTCGTATATATGATGAGCTTGCTGACCCAGGTATTCGGAACTGCTCTTCTCCACGTATGCAAATTTGGCTGCACTTGTAGCTTCTCAAGTATGATCTGGTATTGTTGGCAAGTCTGCATTACAGATTATGTTATAATGGCGAGAACAAAACTTGAAGCAAAATTCATCAAGCGCTACCTGATGAGTCGCGCCGGACGGGCTCATTTTGTAGTACGGCTAATGGACGATCCCATTGTGTAATCCGCAAAGTCGGATTACAGTAGTACGCTTTGCCCTTCGAGCGCGATACGCGCATCTCCCATCCTGCAGCAAGCGGCATTGATTCTAAGCTAATCGACTTTCTTGGAGTAAAAGTCTTCCTGGGATCAGTCGTTTGACGCGATGCAGCCAATGTGCCATCTTCTCCATAATACTTTACTTTTGCGGCTGTGAGTCTGCTTTTAAAAACCTCCATAGCACCGACTCCAACCGCACTCACCTCTTGAAGAAGCGATGGGCGATTGTGAAAGTCGCCCGTTTCACTGCCAGATAAATGCCCTTCTCCTTCACTATCCCCACTACTACTGGTATGCCACAACTTTGCACTAGACATACGTCGCGCAGATTGCCGGAGAAACTGCGCCGTCTCGGCTGATTTCTGGGCAAGTGCTGCTTGCATGGCCGTAGAAGCCCGACCTGCCTCTCCGCTGTCAGATCCATCGTCAATGTCTTTCTTAGAACCCAATTTTCGAAATGCTGAGCGTTGGTCTTTGCGGATAAATCTCTGACTTGAGACCTCTGAGTCAGAGCCCACAAGCTCACGAAGCTTGACGCACTCGCGTTCTACAGTTTCAAGTTTTTTCTCCTTCTCGCGGATCTAATCGCATTCAACATCAGAGACAGTTAGCAAACGTCACAAGCTTGTACTTTTGATTGCAGTAACCCTACCGTGTCTTGGAAACCGCTAATTTTGACTTGAAAATTCGCTGTCAACACAGTCTGATCAAACTTAAGCTTCTCGACCTCACTTTTAAGATGTGCCGTCAAAGCTCTCTGTTCTTCATTCTCCTTGCGCAGACGATTTGCTTCCTCGTTGAGCTGGCTAATAATCCCGTCAGCATCAGCCATCCAGACGTGAGCAGCCGATTGGCCGGGTGATTGCGATCCTCTTCCTTCACTGTTGTCAGCAGAGGTCGCAACCAGCATCTCCTTCTTGGCTTCTTCATTTCGACGTTGTTCATCATGAAGGCGCTGCTGCAGCTTGTTTAATTGGTATTTCATATCAGCCTGTTGTTTCTTCTCCTGCAGAGCTTTGATATACTTTGGTCGCTCGAATTTCATACGCAGGTATGCTTGAATTTTTACAGCCCCCTTCCGTTTATCTTTAAATTGTTTGCTGTCATTTGACACATTCAAAGACAAATGAGCGACGCAAGTGCAGTAAGAAGCAGCGGACGTACCGTTCAATGAAGCAACGAGCATATTTTTGGACAATAATCGCACTTTTGTTTTTTCTGGCTTCCAGCCAAACACAGCGACCCTTTCTTCCACGCCAATGAGCCTGAAGTGTGATTATTGCGGCTTTAAGCGACTGAAAATGATGCATCATGATAACACATCGAGCAACAGACTACAGATTAACAGATCAACCATGTTGGACGTCAGTGTGCTTAGTTTTGATGATACAGAAAAAAGCAAATAAGATTACCTGCAGCTTTACAATTGCTCGCAACTGGCGAAGGTAGCGAAGTCTGCAGCTAAACCCCCGCATATAGTGTTGCAAGTTGCGGGCTTGAACATCCAACCGCTCAGCCTTCTTTTCCTCCATTTTTTCGAGGATTCCATAGCGAAAGTAAATGCGTGTAAAACCAATTTGATACTGCTCGGGAGAAGAAAAATTCATTTTTGCCATCAGAGCTTCGCAGCGAGTCTTTACCGAGATATTTGTATTGCGATGCCCCACATCAAACACCCAAAACTTGTCGACGATTTCCTCTAGCAGCAGGCGGTTTGGATATGCTACACGAGAAATGCGAATTGCCTCGATTACACCAGCACAACGAAGTTGTGACACCACCATTACTTGACCCAATTCAGTTGGGCTTTTATTTTGGTTGGGCTTGATACATCGGATATAATGTACTTTGGTTTGGTGGATGCTAGTCATGAGCTCGTTGAGATTGTCTTTAAATTGAGTGCCAACATTCGTCACTGTCAAAACACCACGCGTAGTTCGACTACCTCGCGAATTAGTGTGATTTCTCCTTCGTGAAACGACTGGCTTGATGGTTTTGTCGACGAACATGTCCTTCAAAAACTGTTTAGACGAACTTCGCATTAGCTCGGATAAATTAGGAAGGAGAGCGTCCTTGTGCTTTTCTAGAAAGCCCAATGATTCGTACGTAACTGCTCCTGCATAGTGCTTGATCGTGAATTGTGTGCGTGATGTGCGCGGAAATTCTATGACATCTTGGTCGTCTTTGTGAATTGTTGAAAGCTTAGAAACCAAAGCTTCATCATTGCCCATCGGACGCATCACCTCGTCGTTTAATAACGAAATGATTCCAAGCTTGTCTTCAATCATAGAGATTACATCTTGATTATCTGCGAAGTCAATGTGACTCCACAAAATGCCTTCAGCTTCGTACTCACTTTGCACTGTTTTAAAGACATCTTGAGTAAACTTCTGCTGAATTTTTTCATTAGCGTAATTTATACAAAATTGCTCGAAAGAATTGAGTTTAAAATGCTCAAAGCCGAAGATATCAAGAATTCCCACGTGATGATGCATTTTCTGATCATTCTCGAGAGATGTGTTGATAATGTTGACTAGCCAATCAAAAACTTTGGAGTAAATGGCCTTAGATAAAGCACCAATACACTCCTCTGCTTGATCTTTCTTCAAAAAGGTAGTCACTTCATCTCCAGCGACTGCAATTTGACGCGAGCACAAAGCCTTTTCCAAGTCTGCTGCCGAAATGCCAAGAAGTTCAGTCGCGTATTTCGCAGCTTTGTCGCCAGGTCTAATCTCGGACTCTTCATTACTATTTTTAGACTGTATTGTCAATTGTCCAAGATGCAATATGCCTGCGAGCACCTCAAAAAGGACTCCTTGCTGCTCCTCCGTGACTCCAATAAGCCCCAGAGCCGTTCTGGTGCGCTCAAAATGTTTGTCGTCCGACACACCCTCGATCTGGAGAGTCTTATTTGCACCCGTGTACGCGTAGCACTCGTTGGCATCATCCAAGTGCCACTTTTCTTTGCTTTCACTCGCAGCTAACAACTGGTAGAAGATGTGATAATTGCGCTCGGTCTCTATGTGAGATATAACACGAGTCTTCTCCAGCAAGTAAGTTCTACATCGAGCTCCCACCAAAATACCAGTATTGTCAAATTGCAACTGAGTAAATTTGCCGAATCGAGAGCTATTATCATTTCTCCCAGTTTTGGCGTTGCCAAACGACTCGAGGAGTGGATTCACCTCTATAATCTTCTTAATTGTATAGTCATTCAAGCCTCCAGCGATTGAAGCTAAATGATTCATCAGAATCTTAGTGGTTTCCGTCTTACCAGCTCCCGACTCTCCACTTACTAAAATTGACTGGTTCATCCCATTTCGCTTCATATCATTGTACGACGCTACGGATGTTGCGTACACATGAGGCGGTAATTCGTCCCGAGGTCTAGTGAGGTATAGAGCCTGTGTTTGCTCTGTGTAAAGCTCTGGTAGCCACTGATAAGGATTCACGGCGATACAAATTTCGCCAGTGTATGTATACGGCAACTTTTGCAAGAAGCGCTTTTTGACGTTGTATAGTATGGCAGCCTCATGTAGATAATTAAGTGCGGTCATATCCTCTATTCCCGTGAGGCCCAAATTCTCATTTTGATAGGGCAAAGACTCAAGCTGTAAGCTTCTCATCATGGCCTTGACCTTATAGTCGTTGAAGTCCAGCACTCGCTCCTCATCTACGACAGCTTCGGGATTACCAGGTGGAGGGAATACGCGCAGTACAATAGTTTTTTCGGGTTTTTTAGGGTTCGAGCTCTTTTCCTCGCGCAATATCTGCGCAGGAAGCCATACGTATGTGTCGTCGGGTACGTAGCACTTGGTGCCTGCACCCGCGTCCTTCATCAGCATTGAAATCTAGCTATAAGTTCAGTCCGGGAATGCGGAATTAAGAATGTTGATGTTTTTATGCGAATTTTGCGGAAATTTAAAATCGCGACATCGTAAACAGTAAGAATATTTTTTTGATGTGCTTTATCTGCTCAGAGTGATATTTCATTTTCATACGCTAGTATCTAATAGGAATGGACGCAGTCGTCCGCGAACTTCAGAGCGATGGTAGGCGATATTCATTACCTCTCGAATCATCAACTGATAGTAATCTACATCATTTACCGTCACGATAGCACAGTTAAGCGTATTTTTAAGCTCTGATTGCAATGTAAGCGCTATCGCCAGTGCCGTTGTGGCGCAAGATTCGACCTCGCCGGACATCATTGGTGCATCACGTCTCTCTGCTAGCTCGAATACTAGCTTAGTGGCATCGGCTGATGAAATAGACGAGCCTAGCGAATCGGAGAAGTTTGTACAACGTCTAGAAAGCGCTGTGCAATCCATCGATCGTGTCATCTCGGAACATATTGGCGAGCATCATGCCACGCTGCTCGAGCAAGTGAGCTCTGTAGACGAGCTGCAAGATCAATTCGAACTGGTACGAAAGGCAGTGAGCCAATACAAGTATTCGGTACACTCGTTACAGGCCCAGGTGCGTGAGCAGCATGAAAATTTGCGGGATACCATCCAGCGCTACCGTAATGTAGAGCAGTGTGGAGACATTGTGCAGCGTGTGCTGCGCTTTCAGCATCTTTCTGATCGTGTCTTGAAGTCTGAGCTAAATGAAGCTGATGCGACATCGACAAAAAGTGTCGAGGAGAAAGTTCTAGCAGGAGATGCGAGACAGAACGAGATGGCGTCAGTGGCGCTCGCAATTAGAGAAATAGAACAGTTGGTCAAAGACCAGAATTTTGAGATGTTAAGTGTTGTGCGAGCAAAACTCCCGGCTGTACGCCAGCTCACAATAAATCTGCAACGCGAGGTGCGTACTTCGTTGCGTGCAGGAATCCATAGCTTAAGCCAAGTGGACATAGGTGACGCACTTCAGATCGTCTTTTACCTGGGCGACCTGCCCACGATAGCTCAAGCCTCAGTAAATGATGTTATCCAGGAATTAGAGCGGGAGTGCACTGCAGCTATCTCAGAGGATAAGCTAGTGCAATCTGCAGATAGTAGCTCGAGTGGCATGGACACAAGTAATGAGCCTGTAAAAAGCCTAGTACAGAAATCGAACGTATGGAAAGCTGTTCAGGATGTTTTTGATGTCATTCGAACCTATGCATTACAAGTTTGGAACTTGCAACGCGTACTCATTCAGATGTCGGACCCAGCTTCTGGTAAGAAGTATCTTGATTTGGTTCTTGAGCCAGATGAGCCGTCTCTTTTCGCTACATTTTGGGAGGTCACCTGTGCAATCGTTCAAGAGCTGTTCGCATCAACTCTCTCTTACAGTGCGGCAGTTAAATCTTTACTGGTTTCGGAGTACCCTCGTATGCGTGAGCAAGCCATACGACTCTTAAATGAGCTTTTTGCATCGACAAAGCAGACTCCAGGTTTGGATTTATTTGCCGATCCAACTACAGACAATGAAGCTGACATTGACGTGGGAAAGAGTCTGGTAAGGCGAGAGCTGGTGCCGATTGCAGGATCCTTGGCCGAGCGATCGCAGCTACTTAACTCCATGACACCACTGTATGATGCCTATATTGATCGTGCGTACCGCCGCATGTCGAACCCAATTACGCTCATGTTTCCTCAAAGCTCTAACTTCCACGCATCACCACCGGGTCGTAGTGACATTCAAACCCTGTCGCGATCAATCATTTCGGAGTTAGAGCATGCCGGGCAGGATTCCGTGCTGCTGAATGGTACACTTCAACAATTGCGAAAAGCTGTGAAACTCTTTTGCTCAAATGTGGAAAAGATAATGCATCAGGGCAAGTCGGTTTCAACGACGACGCCGTCATTTGGCCGAACGCCAGCTCAGGCTCATAACGTTGCGCTTATACATGTGCTGAGCTTATTGGACGAGACCCTTGAGGAGGTCGAACATCGAATGGAGACGGCTGCATCACTTAATGGTAGTCAAGCAGATGCAGCAGGACACGCACTTTCTGCCGCTGATTTCGTCACAACAAGTGTGGTTACATTAAAGAAAGCAAAAGCCTTGTGCACGGCAAATTTATTGCCGAGTCGTGATATGATTAATGACCTTAAGTATGCCTTGCTAGGCTCCTACCTTCAAGCACTCGCTGTAATACTGGAGAGTATTCTCGCAAAAATGCACGATGAGTCCTTCGGCAATCAAAGTGCTGCTACAAAAGAGGTCACATCAGTGGGCGCATCACGCAGTACTGGACATCGCTCAGCGCAAAGCACAAATGGATCCAAATATATGAATGAATTTTGCAATGCATTTGCTGTTGTTCACGAGGAACACCTACGCCGGCTCCCTACTGCAAATTTTGTCACGACATGTCTGGCAGATTTTGTAGAGCGAATTATCTCGGTATTTGTACGGCACGCATCTTTGCTTCGACCGCTTTCTATGAACGGAAAGCAGCGTCTTGCTGATGACATGACACAGTTAGAGCTAAGACTAGAGAAGGTGACGCCGCTTAAAAATATTGGGAAATCATATGAGGAGCTACAAGCTTTTCGCCACATGATCATCCTTGATAATAGCGAGATTCTTCGGGACTCTACAATCGACAAGATCCGCCCGAGTAATGTTTGGCACCATCTTACTTCTCGTGCCCCACCTGAACTCCAACTACCGCATCAAATGAAAAACTGGTCGGCTTCTAAGTATATTGAGTGGCTAGAAATCCGTGGAGCTAATAGTCAGGTTTTGTCGCCGCCTACCACCCCACCATCTTCAAGTAACATTGTATCAAATTCGTTGCCATCATGGAAAGAACTTCCGCTGGGATTCCCCTGTTTGAAAAATCCCCGTCTGAGCTTGCAAGCTGAAAAGCAGGCTTGGAATGAAATGGCTAAATGTCTTGATGCATATTCTCAGCGTGTGAGTGCGTCCACGAATGTTGACCGAAGTCCGATATACGATCTTTTGCAAGAATCAAGCGCCATTCTGTTAGCAGGTTACGAAGTTACGCTCTCTCGGTATTTGTAAACAATAAAAGACCGAGTAAGATTAAGCATCATGTTGCTCAATGAACTCAGAGCTGTAACATCAAGACTGCAATTATGCTGAAGCTGGCGAAGTATCAATGTTCATCGCCCAGAAAGCTTTATACTCAAACGAAGTTCGCAGTTCGTTCCTCCGTGATTTTCCAATCTGAATGTTGCCCTTTAGCCACTGGATCTCAAAACTACAACGCAAAAGCAGGAGTCAGCAATCGAAAGCTACGGTTTACCAAATGAACCATTCGTACCTCTTTCCAAAATAAACTCCGATCTACTATTTACTTACGTTCATGTCATGCCTGATTGAAGGACCATCGGGCACGATTTTCATCATCAGGGCGTCCTACGCTACTTCTGTTATTAGCAAGTTTGCAAGCGATACCTTTCACCTCTTCAAGTTGTTGTCGAGTTTGTTTCACGCTGTGAGACTCTGTTCGGTTTTTGTCTCAAATACGGCCTTAAGCGTTTCAGTTACAACGTTGGATGTAATTGCTGAGATGCGGGAAGCTTCATCTGTGGACAAATACTGACGAACGCCGATTGTTTTGGTCTCTTCAAAATTCGTTTATTGCTGGTTATACTAATACTTCGCACTCAACAGTGATATTCTTACAAGCCTGAGGGGAATAGTTGATAAAAATTTAATTGGGTACATGCTTAAAAGATGTGGAAAATTGGTGGCGTTACGGTAACAGCAAAATTTAAATCGATGCTTGACAGGGAGTACGGCTGAAGTTGCCCGCATATGCTCACATGATTTGACCTTAATGACACCACTTCTGCAGTACATGCTGCGCTCACAAAGTGCACATAAAACAGTATCCTCATTTTCTTTTGTTTCTCTATCACCCTCCTTGATCATCGCAGTGATTAAAAGGAATTACAGCACATTCGAAATGTGCCGAAAGAACACACTCCATCCTGTACAAGATGCATCAGGTAGGGAAGTGCAAACAGGAAGGCTAACAACGCTGATAGAAATAAGAACCTAGCCCAAACCTCTCCAAAATTAAGAATTATAAATCAGTGGTGAAGAGATCTGCAGTTCCGATCTGCTATAACATTGCATGTCATAATTTCAGCATCTATTGTGTCACTGCTCAAGGTTTCTTCTCCAAAATGATGCTTAGCTGGTTGTAAAGCGACTCCTCTTTCTTTTTGTCGATTGAGTCCTGCATGCGCTGCAGTGTCGCAAACAAGTTTGCCTTCGTAGCACCATCAAAGCGGTCCAGATGGTCAAAACACTGAAGCAACGGATACGCAGACATTTGATTGACCTTGCCGATCTTTACAAAGACCTGAACCATCACGTCAAGCCCTTCATCAGTGGCGATTGAAAACTCACGAATCTGGGAGAGACAACGCGATAGAGTTCGCCCGTGGCTCGACTGACTCGGATTGAAGCTAGGGTTCGCTAATAGATTAAGAATCTGCTTTCCAACATCTTTTGAATCCAAGCTGCTCACAATTCCAATGTACTTTGTCAGCATATCAGGCGTCTTTGACCACACGTCAAAGATTTCTTGTTGCACCTTCGAGCGGTCCACAAAACTTTCATCCTCAAGCACAAGACGAAATCCAGTAGCTTGGTCGGTCACGAAAGGGGAATGTCTTAACAAGTCTAGCGCCAGCTTGTAAGGCTCCACTGTTGGCGTAACCTTCGGGATTGTGTTAAGTACAGGGGTTTTTCCACCCGACACAATCAGCAGTAGCAGATGACGCTTAAGAGCACGTTCCTGAAACTGCTCAACGTGCGGTCCAGGGTGAGCCATCTCGCACAGTTTGTTATACGCATCTTCGATTTTTGTCGAGTACTTAGCCCACACTGCCTGCTGCAAAGCCGTGGTGGCCTCCTTGATTGCGGCATAGTGATGACTTAGGTCGTCCCTGCTAGGAATTGTCTTAGGCTCCACTAGCGTCAGGGCACGCGCAGATGGTGTGAATTCCTCTGAGAAAAGGATCGATCCATGCAAATCCACGAACTCAGATGAAATTTCAACCTCCTTGTTTCCCTTGAGCAAACATTCAATCACCCTTGCCTTCTCGATATCTGCAACACTACGATAAGCCTGATACTTATTAACAGTATCCGGGTCAGACAATGCCTGCTTTGTAAGACGATCAACAGATGGGTTTTTCTGCTTTGACTTGCCAAAAAACGACCATCCGCGAGCAAAAGACAAGAAATCGGGTTCTTCCTGCACTTCCGAAACAGTAAGCTTCGCGTCCTTAGTCTTCAACAGAAAAACACCACTTTTCAGTGGCAAACCATTTTTAACAAGGGACCAATCTATTGGAATCTCCCACGGGCCGTTGTTTTCGGAAGGCATGTCTTCAAAACCTGTCTGGGTCATTTCTACGACATACTCTTTAGAATAAGCGTTGTAATTCGTCGAGTACGTTACTTCTGGGTGACCAGGGCGTTTCAGCCACGTCTTCGCCAATATTTGCAGATTTTGACCAGAACATTCTTCCATGCACTTGATCCAATCCATACTAGTAGCATTTCCGAAAGCATATTTTGTATGATACATATCGAGGGCCTTGTGAAATGTATCTTCTCCTAAAAGCAATTCTACCATTCGAACAAATTCGGGAGCCTTCGAGTATGTCACAGCCGAAACAAGCTCTTGCGTCTGATTAAAGCCTTGAGGCTCCACCGAAAGAGATGTTGCTGACTTGTCCTGTGCGAGTGGCCCAATTGCCGGGGTAAACATGTACAGCACTTCACTCAAACGACTGTAGTCCTCGCCAAAAATCGCTGCGGCACGCTTGCGTTCCATGTGCACTGTGACAGCCTCGTTCAGCCAAATCTCGAATGGAGACTGACCAGTGACCTGGCTTCCATTTATATTGTGGTAATATTCATGCACCTTTACATGCTCCATGTACTCGTACGACTTATCATCCATGCGGCAGCTAGGACACAAACACGAGCTCACGATTGTGGTATTGCCGACATTTTCCATGCCACCATAGTACGAGTTTTCCATCGCAATCTCGCGGTACACGGCACCTGTATACTTATAACCTGTCTTTTTCCACACTTTTAGAAGCTCTCTCAGCTTGGAGCGAATAGCGTCTAAGCGTGCGCTATCCGAAGCACTTAACGGAGTTTTTACATATTTCTCATTTGGCCCAAGGCAAAGCGGGCCTTCTTTAGCCTTGATATCCTCGCGCTCCTGCAAAAGTTCGTAAATATGCTTGCGCTCCTCGTGATGCTCACAAGCCTCAGGTCCCAAACTAACCATCACCCACAGGATGGAGTCGTGCAACATTTTGACAGCAGCTTTGGCATCAGCAGGTTCAAAGTAGCCAGGAAACGCTAGGATTTCTAGCAACGTCGTGTCGCCATCAGGAAATTCAAGTGTACGACGAAAGGTCTCGTAGGTACCCACACCAAGAAAGAAAAGATATGGGGCCATGTTCACCTTATGATTGTAATATTTGAGCACGTGGCGAGAAGAATCGTTTACGCCCAGTACTTCCGATGCTGGGTGAAAAATAGGTACACCATCGTCTGTGTGATACCCAGGGGCTAGATCTCCGTTGGTAATGATGTTAGTATAGCGAGTGCTTGCGACAATAATGGTGGTGTAATATGCTTTGGCGTCCATTGTGTCGATGCACGGTACAATGCGCTGAAAGCCATGCTGCTGGCACTGAGTAATGATGGTCTTAGGGGCGCCTTCGGGTGTGTAATCAAAATACAAGCCTTCCAAGATACTCTCAGTTGGAGTGGCCACCGACACGCTACGGAGCACGAATTCCTCTCCGGGTTGCACAGGTCTGGAGAACTTGACAATCAAAAAATGATCATCCTGATCTACCTCGTACTGCAGACTGCGAGGCTCAGCAAAGCTTTGTACGTGGCTTTCAAAGTTCTTTTCTCCATTAAGCGGTGTGAATCTGTCAAATTGCTCCAACGATATGATTTCTAGATCTTTCGAGTTAAGTTTGAGCTGGTTAAGCGGCTGCGCTCCGTCGTGCTTCATCGTCGTCTGGAGCGTCACCTTGACTTTGACTTCCGTGATATCAAACACCATGTGAAAGTGCAGCGGCTTCGTAACGAGTGGTTTGAAGTCGTCACGGGTAAAGCGGTACTTCTTGATAGGCGCTGTCATCTTCTGTTCGTTTGATCTTTTGGTGCGACGTGGATTGATCACAGTGCCTTCTGAAAAGCGATATCATAGTTTCAAGGTGCAAAAATGTTCATCTCAGTACATTCTACATCAGAGTTTGACCTTTTCTAAACTGTATGCCCATTTATTTGGGCAAATGACATCTTTTCTATCTTGATTTGATTGTGCTCTTTATCTTTCCGGATATTTCAAACAGCCGTATGTGTAACATAAACGAAATTTCTTAAGGCAACACACCATTGCCATGTTGCAGTGTTGCAATGCCTTCCGTAAAGCCTGAACATCTTCACCTCATCGAGGTATGCTCCTTGCTATTTTAAATACGCAGCAATCGTTGAGTAATGTCGCACAAATTCCTGCAATGCTTTCTGCTTGTTGTTCGTAAGACAGTAATATTTGGCGTGTTTGAAGTCGTCCCAAATATTCGCTGGAATTTTAAAGTGTAGATCGCGATGTAGACACGTATTTCGCGAAATCGGAAAACTTCTTGCACAGCCTAGCTGACGATAGACTGTCTGTCTAAGCATCCCATAAAGCTCGTGCTGAATGTCAGGAGCTGTTCTTCTTCTCACCGCGTGTCAACGAAGTATCTTAAATGCAGCTCGTGCCATTTTAGTGCTCGCAAATTTTTCGTTGGGGCGATTACCATTGCGATTTATGGCTATTTGCGCTGATGAGAGATTAATGGTGTGCAGTTTTGTAGCGCAAAGATAACGTAGTCGATTGACAATGCAGTGCACAATCGATAGACGAAATGTCAATTAACCATTACAATTGTGTAGATCATACCATTTATAGTATTTTACGTGGTTCGGACATTTGGTAGGGAAATGCAATTCAAAAATTCGATCGTTGACCATAGATTGCTCTGAAGTAGTTACTAGAATAGGAATCCATCATAGGATGCAGTACGTCAGACTCGTTGGGGTCGAGACAGCCACTATACTGGAATGACCTTGCCGTGACTCCGTAAAAACATTCTCACAAGCATATAGTGAGCAAAGGATTACTAATCGGAAGGATGCCTGGTATCTCACATCTATTCTATATTTTTCCAGGTATCGGTTCGACTTCATGTCTGTAATTTACTTTTTTGTTCACGCTCATTATGAGGCCGATCTTGCTTCGCTTCACTTTGCGATCGCGCTCATGCGAAGACGACTGATCTCTTAAAGATGCATCATATACTCTATTTCGAATAGAAAGGCTGACTTCGATCATGAACGCTTAGCGTTTCAGAAAAATTGGCTTCGATGACTCACGTAATTGTGCGATTGAACAAAAGTTAAGTCCTCGAAGTAACCAGTAGAAACAAATATGTAACAAGATGTGATTCAATAGAGCGAGTACAATAACAGAGAGCTATGCCTCAAAAGCGCGAGATTTTGTTTGGCGGGGCTGTGTCGGTTGGCAACAACAAAACTGATGCCACGGAAACATGGCGCCGACGTCAGCTTCATTTATATCAAGAAAATGGTGTAAGCTAGCCTGATTTTGTCGACAAATGATAATGAACTACAAGTTGCGACTTTTTTCGTGCCATTACTTGCAGCAGATGCAGGCTGGTGTCGTCGTGTGAACTGGTAGCTCCTTTATCACTGAAAACTGATTGTCGCGTTCGTACTACGCTTCATGCTTGCCTCCTTCCTCATTATTCTCTACTCCGTATGCAAGACTGTCTATCTTGCAAATTAGACCCAATTGATCGTACAGCGCAACTTGCAATGGGCAGCGTAAATTTGTCCACTGACGCTATCATTGAAATCTGGTGCATCCATAACACTAATGCTAATGGCGCGTCACTGGATCTTGCGATAGCTTTTTGCGTTACAGAATTTCCCAATGGTCCTAGCACGCTGGCAGCTGCAATTTTTTCAGCGATCAGCCAGATTGTTTTGCCGAGCATGTAGGATGGTAACGGCACTGAGTAGTTTAATATCGCTCTCTATTGTGTATTGAATGAATGAATGGGCTTCTACGAAATGGAAGTATCCTCAGGGCTGATCAACGCGTCAACGAATGCTTTGTCACCTGTACCGCATTCAATCATGTGCTGTATTGACAGGAAACCGATACCATTCATTCGGAGGAAAGTTTCATTCGAAAAAGCAAGAGCCTTAAATGCCTGTTGTAATACTGCAACATGAAATGTAGCCGCACAACTCCCACCATATTTCTCTTCACTTGATGGTGCACATGAAAACTCAATAATTGCCGATGAAGTTGGCGAAAAGCCGATCTCACATGATCCTGTCTCTGATGTGGCGCTCAAGCTTAAGCACTGGGCTTCCGACCTATCGTTTAGATTTCTGCTGTCCTCATCTGCCATGGCAATTGTGACACTCGCAGCACTGGGTAAATCGTAGAGCTCAGCAAAAGCATCTCGCAAAGGCTCTGACTGTATGATACAGCGTGCTACAACCATTGATTGCTCAAAAGCGCTTTCAAACTCCAGCTGACCTATGTCACCATCTTCGTGCTCCAACACCTGCACTGAGCACTCGCACATGACGCCGCTATCCTCAACCACAAGCAGCAAGCTTGCACTCTACAAAACAATCTTATACAAATTAATACACTTTTGATTCAATCATACTCTACCTATTTCTGACCTCTGGCTCGTAAGTCATCCGTAGTGACGTGGTAGCGAGAGCTGAGGGTCCAAATATTGACAGACATTCGATAAGAAGATTTACGTTAAGTGCAAAACTCAGCTGCACATTATCATCATCTTCTTCTTCCTCGTCCTGATCCTCTATTGCAGAATCAGCGGCGCCGAACTTGTACGTCTCGAAGAGTTCTCGTCCAATAGACGTCTTGATCTGCAGGGATTTGCCTTTAGAATGTGCAGTGAACAGCAAACCGCGTTTATCCACATCGCAGCGCACGCGTTGATCACGCTTGCCATACACAAGACAACTCAGTAGTGTCACCAAAACTTTGACGCTCTCAGTGGTGCAGATTAGCGTCAATATCGGTGCTGCGCCAATATCATTGTCGCTCCGAGCCATCGAGGTTGAAGAGGTATCCAATTTAATGACGGTATGAAAATGTGTCAATGACAAAAAATGAGTAACATAAAATGTAACGGTCCCTCTTGAAATCTCAAAGTACCTAAATTACATTTAAGCACCATACTAGTAACGCATTTTTACGAATAGTGATCGGTCTTTTATTTATTGGTAGCCTCAAGAAATCGATCACT